TAATCCTACTTTAAATGCTAACATTAGGCCAACTCCTCTTGACCTTTTCTAATGCTTTGCTAGGTCTCTAATTACTAACTATTATTTCTTTAATTTACTAATACTATTGCTTTTAATGACAGGTTGTTTTTCATCCTTCCTCTTATTCGCTTATTTGAATACTGTAACCGTTTGAAACTATTTGTATATATATATAATACACGCTTGTAAATAAGTTTAATTGCTCTGAAGATGTTGTGAACAATACAACGAAACGTTAGCCAATAAATTTTATATTTTGTTATGTCTTGTCTGAAAGTCATTTGCTGGGCTTTAATTTTCATTTTTAAATTACGCTTTCCACCCGGTGTATCAATCGCTACTGTTGTAATACAGGGTGTATAAAAAAAAACTGAACAGATTTGAAATTGCTCTCAATTTCGCTAAACAGCTATTAGTATACAATTTTTGATATATATATATATACAGTAGCTTCTTTGGGTACTTAAAATTTAGAATAATGAAAAAAAATTTCTCGAACTCAAATTTTGTAAAGGGGGGGAGGGGCTTGCGCACGAGATTTCAAAGCTTTAATCGTGTTTCGAGTTAATGCGTGAAAAATGTGTTGGGTTAATTGCTGAACGAAATTTCAGACAATTTGCTTCAGTTTAAGCCCTTTAACTATTCACGCAAACTTACATTTTTTTCTAAAAAATCAGCCTTTTGCATGCTTTGCAAATGTCAGCAATATGCAGATTAGGTAAAGGCATTAATTAAGCGTGCGAAAGGCTGAATTTTTAAGGAAAAATGAATAGTTAAAGGTCTTAAACTAAAGCAAATTGTCTGAAATTTTGTACAGTAATTAAAAACCCAACCAATGTTCCATTCATTAACTCAAAATACGATTAAAACTTTTAGATTTCGTGCGCAAGCCATTTTTAGTTTGTTGGAAAAGAAACACCCCCCTGGTTTACACAATTTGAGTTCGAGTATTTTTTTCATTATTCTGCATTATGAGTACTCAAGGAATCTATATGTAACAAAAACGTGATATCACGAGCTGTTTTGCGAAATTGAGAGCAATTTCAAATCTGTTCAGTTTTTTTATACACCCTGTATAATGTTGAAACATCTACCAAGTCTCAAAATTAATCAGCGAAAATTCGAGTTGGCAAACAAATGCATGTCAGAAATCTAATCCAATATTACGCGGCAGGCACATTGTAAGTTTTCACCAAAAATGTGCCTGCCGTAATATTGGATTATGGGAGACATTTAACATGGGTTTTCCTTAAGTTGAAAGATGCAAAGGCAAGATTATGGCTTCATCTGATTTCCTCTTCTTTGTATGAGGTTTGGCTTGTTGTCCTGACATGATAAGTTTTGCCGACTGTCAGCTTAAGTTCCGAGGCGTGTCATGTAGTGTACCTGTATAATAATTATTTTAAACTATGACAGACTACAGTGTTTGTAGTTAGACTCTAATATTCTGCAGATAAGCGCATATAACTCAAACCGTAACGCGATAACAGTGTCTTGAAGTAGTGAACATGCATCCCAGGTGTTATCCTTTTTAAGGCATTTTTAATCAGCTAAAACTGACGAACTTTTCATGTTTTCTATTTTTAACAGCTGCCAAGTTAAATGAACTTACAAGCAGAAGCAGATTGGCTTTTGGATCGTTTGTTGACAAAGTAGTGGCACCGTACACACGGCATGAAAAGTAAATAAGTATAAATATTGTCAGAGAAAAATAGAAAATATGAAGCTTTGTTTTTTATAGAGTTTCCGGAATCTTTTTTTGCTGGTGGAAAATTTTCAAATTTTTATCACAGGGAAAATTTTCATCTAAAGTGTCATTTTGGGAATGGGAAAAGTGCAAAGTTTTAAACGAATCGTGTAAAAAGTTACACTCTTTGAAAGATTTAATTCCATTTCACCATTTAATATTTTCTGTTTTATATATAATTTTATAATATAGCATTTGTAAATTCTGAACGCTGATTGGCTAAGAGCCGTGTTGATATAACTCAATGTCAACACGGGAAATTTTCCGCCGCTTGTAAACACGGAAATTTTTCTTATCTTTCGGGCTTTTGACATTGCAATATTATAAAAAAAATATAAAACATTTTTTCCGTATTGACATAAAGTTATATCAACACTCGTGGAAATTGGGAAAACTCGAAATTGTGTGAAAACACTCCGCCCTTCGGGCGTCGTGTTTCCACACAATTTCTCGTTTTCCCAATTTCCACTCGTGTTGATATAACTGTATATCAACACGGAAAATGTTTTATATTTGTTAATTATAATATAGCATTTGTAAATACTGAACGCTGATTGGCTAAGAGCCGTGTTGATATAACTCAATGTCAACACGGGAAATTTTCCGCCGCTTGTAAACACGGAAATTTTTCTTATCCTTCGGGCTTTTGACATTGCTATATTATAAAAAAAAATTAAAACATTTTTTCCGTATTGATATATAGTTACGTCAACACTCGTGGAAGTTGGGAAAACTCGAAATTGTATGAAAACACTCCGCCCTTCGGGCGTTTCCCGTTTTCTCGTTTTCCCAGTTCCACTCGTGTTGATGTAACTGTATATCAACACGGAAAATGTTTTATATTTGTTAAATAATATACAAATAATAGTGGCAGTTAAAATCAAAATGCCACATTACTGAAGAGGCTGTGAATAGCCCGCCCCCCGAATAGGGTTGAACTAACGGCCGGTCAACGGACAAAACTGAGTGTTGACCGAACAAATCCTTAGATCGCCCGTCATGTTGCCAGGACAATTCATGTGGTTTGAAAGGAAATTTATTTTTCAACAATTTCGTATAAAACCAGACCTCGAAAATATTACCTTTAGAAAGCTCTTGTCAAGTTTTCCTACTCGGACGTACACACGAACAAATTTTCCTTGACCAACAGCTGGCATGACTTTAGCTTTGCACTCCTTGGCAAGGAAAAATTGTCAACTTTATGCAGTATGCACGAGAAAACGTCTTAATGAACAATTGATCGTCTGCATGTATCGTGCAGGCTAGCTTAACCGGGCACCTACAGCATAGTTGTATATTCACCTGTATAGTCTGGTTAACCTGGAAGTCTTGCTTATACCATGGATAATAAAATAAATGGATAGGAAACTAGCTGACGTGACCTAATGTTTTCAATGGGCTGATGGCGGGGTTGGATGTTCAAACCTAGTTGCAAACCAAATTCTCAAAAACGGCATGTTTAGCAATAATACAGCTAAACATTTTAGTCAAAGAGCAAATAAATGTAACCACGCCATTCTACGATGAAATCTTTAAGTATTCCCAGTCAATTTTAGCAAATATTGCAAGCACTCCACCTAAACAGTGAAAAATGCATCGCAAATTTCGTTAAAATTGGCGACGCCAATTTCGTAGTTACAAATGTAAAAAAATACAAAACAAAGACGAAAACATTTACGTTGAATACTTTGTCGTGGCTTAGGCATGTTTTTAAAACAATTAGACCAGTTTATGCTTCAATATTATTCTTTTAAAGCGGAAAATATAACGAAACAACAAAAATGCTGAGAACTTTGGCAATGCGCGTGACGTGACAGATTGCAACTAGGTTTAGACTGTGACGTCAGCTAGTTTCCTATCCATTTATTTTACAATCCATGCTTATACCCTGCTGTTGGAAATAGTGTGCACCATGCTCCGCTTAAAATTTATTTTTAAGAATTGTGTCGTGAATATACAGTATGTTTTAGTTTATTAATATGCGAATGATGATAATTTGTTTAGGATTGGACTGCCATACAGCCCAGGAAAGGATAAGCCATATGATTATAAGCATATACTCACTTTTACTGGGAACGCAAATGAATTCAGGGTAAGTCTTAATGGTTTCAGTAAACAATTTGATTCCATGCATGTTTTATTTCTCTTCTGCTCGAAATTTCAGCTTAAGTCTACTCCTGATCATTTATTGCCAATTATGCAGCAGCAACTCCAACAACAACTTCAACAACCTGAACAACTGTAACAACGAGAACAGTGAGAAAAACAATATAAACATACAGCATGTCAACACTCTGCGCAGATACATATATTCATATATATATACTGAACATGTATTCCTCTGTTAAATCAGCGGTTAAGCTTGAACAAGGTGTCACACCATTCTTTCAATCTCATGTTGGAGTAAAACAAGGATGTAACCTAAGTCCAACATTGTTCAACCTCTTCATCAACGATATACCTAATTTATTTAATACTACTTGTGAACCTGTGAAGTTCGGAGACACTGAGTTGAGTTGTTTGCTGTATGCCGACGACTTGGTGATAATGTCAGAATCGGAATCTGGGCTACAATGCTGCCTTCAAAAACTTGAACTATATACTAAAAAATGGAAATTACAAGTTAATCTAAAAAACCCAAAAATTCTGATTTTCGGGACACAGTATCAAAGACGACAATTTATCTCCACCAAGTGGTTCTTCGGGGACAATCCACTGGATTGTGTGAACGAATATACGTATTTGGGATTAACTTTTCATTGTGGTGGTAACTTTAAGATAGCGACAACAATGTTATACAACAAGGCATTACGAGCTTACAATTGCCTAATGCAGAAACTTTCAAATGTAGAGAATATACCGATTAAAACATTACTGAAACTATTCTATTCGGTAGTGGTTCCAGTTTTATTATATGGTTGTGAAATCTGGGGTGTATGTTTACTGGGTAAAATTTCTTCGTTTGAACTTTTCCAAAAGAGATTTTTCAGTGTGGTGAATAAAATGGAATCACTTCAGTTGAAATTTTTTAAACGTATACTCGGAGTTCACTCGAAAAGTACAAATCTAGCAGTATACGGTGAACTAGGTAGAGTCCCTCTAATAGTACAGATCTCTACTCTAGTGACAAAGTATTGGATACGAATTAAAGATCCGAATTATATGAATACTCTTGTATAGGAGAGGCAGCGAGTTTTAATATTCGAGCGAATACTCAGGCAGTTAATTTTACAAACCATATATTAAAACTATGTGATCTGGGTTCACTAAACGGAATTTCTCTCCCACTTGAAAGTTTACATAATGTAGGTACATATCTAAAAAATAAATTATCTACTTATTTTACTCGTTTTTGGAAAGATCAGATTGAACAAAGTCGTCACAGTGGTAAATTAAGAACTCTAGTACAAGTTAAGAATAATTTTGTATTTGAAGAATACCTTCATGAAATATGCAATGTTAAGCATCGCCAAGCAACAACAAAAATGAGAATATCTGCGCACAAACTA